GGGGGGGGGGGGGGGGGGGGGCCCTGCTGCCGCTTCTACTAATCTGTGTTTGCGGCGCCAAGATTGCGCTATCAGCCTTTTTCGAGGGTGCTACCGCGCTCTCGAGGAATCGTTCCGTGACTGCCTATGACTGTACCTTTCGGCCTACCTTCCACACGTACTTTTGCGTCACTGAACTCCTTCGAGGTTTCATCTCCTGTCCAAGTGACCACCTTTTGAGTTTGCAGTCGATGGACGAGACGCGAATCGATCGCAACGATAGACTTTGACTCGCTTTAACGAGCTGCCGATTTTTCGGCATTCGGCCGAATCGGACGGCGTACGTACATGCGTTGTAGGTACGACACAGCGCCGGCTGTAAAATCGCTCGGTATACGTGGCTGTAACTTTTTATATATTTCAAATAAACAATGGACGAAAGTTATGGCTTCCCAGCTGGTCTCACTTTTTCGCGTGCGTGTACCCCGGGCGCTCGCGAAATATTGTCGTTCGGTATTTATGTCGCGTTCCACTATACGTATAGCACGCAGCGATTTCCGCATTTTCCTTTTTCGTTAATAATGTATGTTGACGAGGTGTTTTTCTTTTTTTAGTCGTTTTGTTTGCTCATTCAGTACAGATATATTTCGCTCTTTCACGATGTGTGACGTTCGGCCCCTTTCGCACCCTGTGAACTATCGGGACTGTTTTCCAGCTGTCAAAAGTTATTCTCGAATCTCCACAAAAGGTCATGGGTGGTGGTTGCATCGAGAGCGCGGAAACCGCAAAACCGCACCACGTAGCACATCCCCCAAACAACATTCAACGACCAATCATATCATTACCTCTGCGGTCCCGTCATCGTGACACCTCGTTCACCCGTCACTCGTCATCCAGCCACTGCTCCCTGTGTGCAGCCTATAGTATATTCGCTGTGCTATATTTACAATATAACTAGGTGACACTGTGTGCCCGAACCTTACGAAGAAGTAACGTAGCTCTGTCGGTACCTGAAACGTTCGACAGGCTAATATTTGTATTGAAAAAAAAAAATTAAATTTCCGAAATTATAAACTCTCGAGTAATGAACCAAAAAAAATATAGAAAATAATGCAGAGTCTTACCGCTCACAGACCCTCATTACATGGTGAAACGTGACTAAGAAGGTTGATCGTTTTAGACTTGGCTCGATAATCGGCCAAACGAATTAAAAGCACATTCGTTAGTGTCAACGCGGTAATATCTCCAGTCCGTAAAGAGAGTTGGGTTACAAGCCGTGCTTCGCGAAAGGTGTAATTGACTCTTGAAGAGCCCTAATTAAAGGAAGAAAACGTAGCTAATTAATTAATTACCCTAATCAGTGTTTTCGTCGATTCCATTCGATGCCGCGATAGGGATCGCCGATAAAGTAATCGTCTGTTTCGAAAGTGATTACGGCGACCAGAGCCCGATGGATCGGCGCCGATCGGGCCCCACGATACGAGCAACAAAAAGGAGCCGTGCGAACGTATTCGTGGTGTTTAATGCACCGAAAAAAGTTCTTCCTCCTCTTCTTGCGTTCCTCTTTATAATTTACTCTTATTTTTCCTTGTCTCCTTCGCGAGGTATAAAACTGCGAAAACGGGAACGAGCCTTTTCCACGCTCTACCTTCCGTCACAGTCCTCGAATGCGCCGAGCCTGACGACCTTCTCTCAACCTCCTTCACAGCCGTACGTTCCTCCCTCCCGCTCCATTCCGTCCTTACTGTCTCCGGTCTCCATCATCCGGGATCCATCGCGCTGCTGCTGCTGCTGCTGGAACCAACCTGGCGATACAATGGCACGTAGCGTAGCCTTATTTTGGCAAAAGGACGAGAACGCAGCGAAATACGGGCCCGAGCGAGGATCGCTCAGTATCCAGCAGCAGTAGCGCTGCGTAAGGGTAAGGGTCACGTACCGGAGGACCTGTGTTCTCGTAGATTCAGCACCGTTTATTTTGGAATTTTTACAATACTTATTATCGTTTTCAGTGCGCTTCTTTATCGCACGCGATCGTGTATTAAGACCGTCTTAATACGCATTGAATTTCGGACACCCTCTATACGCTCGGTCATGGTGTGCCGCTTGAGTTGCCTATACACACTAGATGCCTGTACCTATATATCACTATTTGAAAAGTGGGCCCACGAAGGGCCAAGTTACGAATCTTTTTGTTCACGAGGGCCAAACTCTCTTTGGGGCCTGATTCACAGTCGTTCGCTGGCAGCAGCAGCGCCGCTACGTCAATTTGTCGAAATTCGTTCCGAATCGTTTTATGTCCGCCACGCCGCGAGCCGCGCTCGCTACCATGCGCACACATCGCAAAAATATATTTGGTCCTCCATTTCGAGCACTCCCGTGTTGCTGACCGATCTTTGGTTTTCGACTATCTTGAATTTACCGCACGCGGACTATTCGTCCCGTCGGTAACTCTCATAGCTGCAATATCGTTCATATCTATCCAGAACTCCTGTACTTCCATTAACCATTGACGAATGCATCCTCGATAGAGCGTGACGTTCGTCCGATCCGTATCCAATCGGATTAGTCGAAAAGTAGTGAATTCCACTGGAACCCGGACGCGGATGTCTTCGATCCGGACGTTTCCATCGCCGTCCGGAACGTCACGCTCGTCACGGATCTTATCGCACGAACGATCTTTCTGCCCCGTGATTGTATTTCGCGAATCCTACCGCCTGCATACTTGTCCCGAATACAGTGTATGAGGCATGCCGAAAAAAATTACTTCCTCAGATACTATCAGTCAAATAATTGACGATCGTTGCAGCGACACGATTTCGGCGTGTTTCACGTCAATCACTTGTTCCTCGATCCGTACTCATTGCACCGGGGCATCGTACCTGTAAACTTTGGTTGAGTTCTGCATTGAAGTTGTCTTTTGGTTAGGTTAGGTTAACCTTCAATACCCACAGCATGGGACGGACCGGCGCGACGGCCGATCGCTTCCCGTCGGACCGCGAGAGACGCTGCTCTATTCTCAAGAGGGAGGCATCTCCCGGGTGCTTTTCGTTTGAATGCTTCACGCTGAATTTCGTTTCTTGTGCCCGCTTGTCTAAGTTAATTGCGTCCTCATAGCACTAACGGGCTACGGGCACTAACGCTCGCATAAAAAGGAAAGAAAGACGAACCCGCGCCGTATCGGGGTCTCGATGATAATTACCTTTTTTTACTCGTCTTTTCTTTATTTCTTCCAATTTTTTTTTTTTTTTTTTTTTTCGGATGCTTCACAAAACTTGTTTTGACTCGCGTTACTGACCTCGCTCACTACACTATACACCGTGGCCTTACACCCCTCCACCCCGTCACTCTCACCTGGACTGCCTTTCACTTTTCATCCAAAAATCATTGGGCGCCTTGGAAATTTCTTCAGGCATAGTGTTTTCGGAAATAATTTTATTTTGAATATTCGCTACTTCGGACCACGGTGCGCTCTATAGAGATTCGTGCGGCGTTCAGGTGAATTACGAAGGGCTCCCGGTTAACGGTATTAAAGTTTACCTCGTTACGGCGCTTTAATAACCGTGCGTCGATATTAATTTATCCGTGACTGGGATTAAGAAAAAAATTGAAAAGGACCCACCGGAGCAACATCAGAGGTCGTTCCAGGAGGCGCGCTTATTAAGCGTCGTCAATGTATTTACATAGGGTTCCCTAAGATTTCCCTTATACCGTGGCTCCTTGAGTGAAAATACAGCAATAATAATCGATGAAATATTTTCTCTTTCTTTTCAGACACCCCCTGTTTCCGCTACTCGCGCTAATCTTCGAGAAGTGCGAGCTCGCGACGTGCACACCACGAGAACCCGGTGTCGCCGGTGGCGACGTCTGCTCCTCGGAGAGCTTCAACGAGGACATCGCCGTCTTCTCCAAGCAGGTGAGCAAGTTCAAAATATCCTCATACCGGCGTTCGTTATTCACTTACGTAACCAGCAGTGATCTTTAAGTGCAATCAAAAAGACAGACAGTGGGCAACGAGTAGGTCACGTGGAACAAATTAAGGAGACACGTGGAGAATCGCGCGATGGTGGGTGATCAGTTTGCATGCGCGATCGGGCGGTCAGCATAGAAATCGAATTTACTTTGACTTTCCACCTTCGCAGGTTCTAATTATCGTAGCGAAACGAGATAGAGGACGTAGGCGTCGTGGATTCTGGCTTCTCTCTCGATACAGCCACAGTTTATACGGGAATTAAGTATTATGCATTGTACCGAGCCCCGAATCACCAATCTCCGTCGCGCTTCCTTGGCTCGTTTGCTCCTCCGACAGGCATCCGTCCAGCCTCCGTCCACCTTCTGGCATCGGGATCTCAGCAAAAAAGGACTTACCGATGGACACGTTACGCGCTATAATTAAATCCTACCCGGTGCTCCATTGCGGCTAACGCTCTCGTCTTTTACCTATATGGCCTCCCGTCCGAGATTTATCGTAATTCCTTCCTTTTACCCGCAGGTCCTTTACTCCTTTCTTTCTTTCTCTTGCTTCCATAAAATCGCCTCCGGGACCCGTAAAAATATTTGTCAGTAGTACTATGCGTCTGGCTGCGGAGGAGGAGGCGAGACGATTTTATCCTCTCTCTCTCTCTCTCTCTCTCTCTCTCTCTCTCTCTCTCCCCCTCTCTCTCTCCCCCCTCTCTCTCTCTAACTTTAACCTTTCCGCTAGGTATCTCATTGGACGAATAGTAATGCGTGAACGCTGTGCGCGCGCGTCTCCTTGTGTCGGTGAGACGGCGCGAAAGGATGTAGGAATATAGATGGAAAAATGGGATAAGCAGTGCTGGAACAGTGTGAAAATGAGTAGTGGGTATTTGTCGGTAAAAATCCACAGGGAATTTTACCCATATTGGGGCTTATTTTGGGTTTGCTGCATAAAATTGTGACGCTACTTGTATACACGCCCTACCGAGTATTCAGCCAGAAGATGTTCGGGTTTCTACGCTCTGCGTCTCGAGGCATTCCCCAAGGACACGAATGGCGGTAACCCAAGCCGAGCGCACGCTGAGAGGCGATTTGGACCTTGGGCAAAATGCACCATTCTGCCGCCGGTCTCGTCTACATTCCTTCGAGAGGATTAGCACGAGAGCGCGATCGATTTACCCAAAACGCACGAATTCGTTTTTTGAGTGGATCCGCGGAAACACGGTGGGATCCGATATGATTAGTTGTAAACGTTAATGCGCTGTCTTGACTTTCGCTTCTGCTCCGCCACAGTTCTCTCGATTCTATTTTTCTTTACGTTTGCCGAAGTAGGAAGTACCTGCGGTTCGACCGCGCTGAGACCATCGTAACGCGCATGCGCACACAGACGGTACCGAGTGCTCAAGACATATGGGGATGAGAAGGTGCTACTAATCGGACGTCGCTCAACGACGGGCGGACCGTCGTCGGGACACGTGAAATACAAATGGAGGTTGGTGAGCTCGCGCTGAGAAATTGATAGGTATACGAGGTAGAGATATATGCGAGTCGGTGAAAAAAAAAAAAAAAGTAGGTAATTGTCGTCGTGTCACGAGAACAAAGATGTTATCGTAGTCGTCCGGCAAACACTGGCGTCATATTGATTTGCAATTACGCCGGAAGAAATTGTACAGGGTAAATGACTAGGCGGGGGTGAACTTGTCTGGTCGTACGGGGACGCTCTTTTTCTAACGTCCACGGCCGCGCCGCTAATGCGAAAAGCTGTACAGGCTGTTGTAAAATATCGTCTGGTCGATATTTATTCAGTCCTCATATCCTGAATACTCGAAGCCCGGTGCTCGGCCGGACTGTTAGATTTTTACGAATCCGATTATCAGTTGGCAGCGCGCGCTCGTTGCATAGCTAATTTCAGCCATTCTTCAATCATTTCATTTGATAGGTTTGTGCGGGGACATAGAACGTTTAGAAAAAGCATGTGTGCGACAGGCGTGTTTTACGTACGTAACAATTGTAATAGCGGTTAGGTATCGATGATAATACCGCGGACACGATAAACCTCGTCTATACTAGTTATTTATCACGACGACGCGACTGCTTTGAATGTTTTTCTTTTTTTTCTTTTTTTCTGTGCATTCCTAATTTCTCGTTATCGTACCATAACGCACACCCGCGCGTTCAATAAGCGTCTCTCGCCAATTGTTCGCGCAGTTTAACTTATTTCTCTTGTCTTTTTTTTTTATTTTTATTTTTCATAGAGATCTCGCTTATAGGTATATTCGTTCGTGAGGACTTTGAGTAGTGAACTCGTTGGGAATTCTACTGCGAGGAGAGAGAAAAAATACAACGCACCGTTAACACGGTAGCTGTGGCTTCGAGTAGCACTAGGACGAGATAACGATAAGAGTTAAGCCATAGCGTTGGATAGGATAAGGTAAGGTGGGCGACCGGCCTTAACGTTTAGATATACGTGGGCCGCACTATACTCAAAATCCGTGAAAGGTTTGAAAACAGGAGTAGAGTGGAATAGAGTGGGCCAAGCGTGCTGGACTGTACGTTGTGTATAGGTATTTGAAACGTCATGTGTGCGTATGTAAGAGAGAGATGGACGGAGACAGAGTCATTGTTGGTGGAGACGGTATTTATGGAGATGGAGAACAACAAGAGTATATATAGAATTTATATAATTGTTGGAAAAGAAAAAAAAAATACTTTGGCGATTTGCGGCCAATTCCAGTGCAAATTGCCAATCAGCAATACGGTCAGTGCTGTCTGTTCGGATTTAGACTTTGGTAATTCGTGAGATGTACATGGCAGGTTAAATTGGAGAGATCTATTCGATTGCTTTACCCTTTTACTTTTCTATTGGCTGAGTTTACGGTGGTGCCCATGCTGAATGCGTGAAATCTCCCTGGAAATGGATTCTCGTCGGAACGGTCGGGAGCGTGTGGGTTTGGTCATTTTGTGTTGCCTCCTTTTTTTTTTTTTGGTGTCCTGGCCTCTTCCGTCGTTTGCATCCTAATAGCGAGAGAGTGGACAGTTAACGTGGTTGGACTGTAGGATCTCTCTTTTTCTTTGGCCTCTCTTTCTCATCTTTCTACACAGTTTCGAATCCTCTAAGCACGCTCAACGTGAACCCACGGACCCGATACGGTCACTCCAGTCAAGTATACAAGTTTGGGTTTCTGGGTTTCTATTATATTAGTATAGGTATTATGTACAGTGCCTTTGTGGTCACGTTGCTCTTACTGGTGGACGCGTAATGGATATAGATATGGTGGAACGCACGATTCCTAAACTGGGCTCTCTTTCTCTCTCTCCCCCCCTCTCCCTCTCCCTCTCTCCCCCACATTTATGGCCAGCTGTATTGTTTAATTGTAACTAGGCTCTTTCGAAGGGGACTTAACGCTCCGCCGACAATCATCATCCAGCTACTTTGTCGATTGCGAAAGAGAAGGTCGCCACTGTTATAATGAGATTAACAACTGCCATTGGCTGGAGAGTATAATGAGGCATTGCGCCAATCCATGGGTACCGAGAGTGGTCCATTGTCTCAGAGCGAGGTAAAACAGGTACTCTGATGGGTACAATGAAAATCAAGATTTAATCTTGAACATAGTATTTCAAAGTTCCTGAGCCATTCATACAACATTGTCATTTCAGTGAAAATTTAGAATTTTCTTTGATTCTCGCGCCGGTTCTTGTCTTCGTTTCCGGTGTTAAACGAAAGGGTCCAGAGTCGCTCCGAGCAAGGGCCACGCTCTGCCAAAATGAACGGTGGGAGAGACGTTAGATAAGCAGGTGACAATCCTCTTGCGGGCGTTTTCGAGGCACTAAGCCACCGGTGTTCGATAGTTCCATGGAGATAGCCGTGACAACAAAGGGCCGCGAGCGGGCGCACGCTGGGACGGATTATTCTGCATTATGCACGTCCGTGGCCGTTCACGCGTGTTGGCTGTGCTCCCTCTCACTCGCTCACTCGCTCACTCGCTGGGTTCCTCTGGTGTGTGCTCGTTCTGCTGGCGCACACGCTTCCAACTCGCAACCGGCCTGGGCCACATGCACGCTCAGTTCGGTCGGGCCCCTTGCGACGGAAAGAAGAAGGGACCTATCGCTTGGTTGCGGCAGGGGGAAGCGAGACGACGAGAACTGCAGAGCGCAAGAAAGAGACGGAGAGAGTGCTGCTCATTTTGTGCCATTGTAAATTGATCTATTCAATGGACCCACCGTTATCCCTGGCACTGCGCGCTCTACGGGTCCCGTAGACGGCATTGGGCCCCATGGGCCCTACTTCTCTCTGATGCCTCATCGACCCCGGGTACAAAGTATCCCGCAGTGAGCGCTCGCATTGTTGCGCCTTTATTTTCCACCGATTCCTTTTTTTTCCTTCTTCCCTCTTTTCTCTCTCTCTCTCTCTCTCTCTCTCTACAGAACTCACGCAACCCACTTCATGGCCGATGCGCGATTGCGAAATCATTATGGCGTCGGTTTAACTAGCTTTTTTTTTTCATATCTACTCGAATGCAAAATAAACGGATATTATCTACTAAATGCACTTTTTTTGCGGTACTGGACATGACTCGCTAATGATCCTTCACTTGAATTTCGTCGTGTCGATCTCCTATTCGCGTAGGCACACTCTCGCACAGCAGCATCGTCGCTTCCCTATCCCGAACCGGAGACTTCTCGTAATCCCCCGGCCGGGGATTTATTAGTGCAATTAGTATGCACCTCGGGGCATTAAACCCTCGTAAAATGTTGGCCCGCACTGACGGACTGAATAATGTGTTCCGCGGTATATGTATCTCATGTCCACGTGTTACCTGACCTCGAAATGTATGCGCCACAATATCGATGCAGTTGCATCTTGTGACATTTGCATATGCAATTTTCTATCGAGCTACGAGAATTTTCGAGAACACGTTTTTCTGCATTTCTCCAGTATTTACATATAGAGAGTTTTCTTTCTGTTGGCCTGAAAATTAGTGAAGGGACCCCGTCGTAAACAGTAAATGCGTGTCCCTTTCGACGAGTGTTGTAACCTGACGGTTGTAAAATTGCGGGAACACGCTCTTGCGCCAATAAAAGGTACACAAGTATTTGTGCGACTCCAAGACGTTGGCTCGTTTCGTGCACTCGAACCGTGGTGGTATTGAAGCTGGATAAATTTAAAAAAAATCTTCGAGTTATGATTGAAATTATTTTTTTTTAACGATTTGCTATACAAGCGGAGGCGTTTTTCGAGATATACAGAGCGACCGACGATCGGTTATATTTATAAATATAGTGACGTCAACGTCAACGAGGAGTTAATGTAAACACACGTGGTTTAAGCGACTTTATTTTCTACCCTCGCACCACGTGCCACCTGATTGTCCCTAGTGTCGGTATAAAGTGAATTTCTACGCGTTTCAAATGTCTCGTGCGTACTTCCCAATTTAGTTTAGATTTTGTTTTTGTTATCCAGAAACTCAGAAATCACCTACCATACGTCCGGCAATGTAACGTGGATTCGACGATTTTCTTTTTTTGCCCTTATTGGGGCACCAGAAGACTTTCTTGCAACGCGTTTCAATCCGATGGTATTAATCAGGTTTCGCGCTTCAGTGATTAGGGGTATAAACGTTACATCGTGGTAATGCAAGAAGGAATGTGGCGTGCGAGAAGCATGGCGGTACATAAAAAAACTATCACAAAAGTCATAAGACTCTGTATTACCAGGATAACGTGCTAATCCTCCAAGCTATGAATTATTGTGTTTCTTATTTATCGAAGTGTAATCCGCGCGTCTAGGTATACGCTTTCCTTTTTTGTCACCGGTGAAAGTTAACAAAAATTTCATTTGATATATATCAGAATTGGATATATCTCGCGTTATGACCCGAGTAAAAATTTCAATGCGTAGGATGGATTCGGAACTTGTCCTAATTCATCAGAGGTCAAAGTTAATTCTTTATCGAGAAAAAATGTAATTTAGATATGCCGCGAATGCTTCTCTCAGTTCGACAGTGAATTGTTGTCGCAAGGCCCACGGTCAATAGGTGCATCCTCGCAACGTGCATTTTCATGGGACTCACAGTGAGACGTAATAGTCCGTGGTGGAGCCGGGCCCAAAGGGATTATTTTACAGCGCTATACAAAGTCAAGGTCTTCGGGGAAAGTCAACGATAGTTCATTGGGGACTTGAGGCCCCCGGAGAATGAACGCTCTCTCAATCTTTCGAGAGAATAACCTCCATTGTTTTGCCACAGTCCCAATTCTCGTCGGTGACTTTACCGAGCGAGGGTAAAGTACCCTTTGTTGGGTTTTTCATACTTTTAAATAGAGACTCTCTCTCTCTCCTCGTCGCATCCTCCGTTGTCGTAAAGTGTGCGCAATCCAAAATGAAACTGCCCGAACTCTCGAATTATCCAGGTAGTATAAAAATTCTTAGTCGGCTCCGGCAAATCATTTACTTTAATGATTCCTATATTCTGCAAGACTGCGGATTTACGTTTCCGTTCGTGCTGTACGGCCATGTGTCTGCGTAGGTATATACATAGATAAGTGAATGCGGGAGAGGAAGACGAGATTTAATTAATTATATCTAGAATAAAAGTGTAAGGATCGGCACGATACGACACGGTCTTCTGAGTCCTTACCGTGAAGATGCGCCTTTTCGTTATGTGGATTTATAAGGCTCTTGCCTTTCTTAATAACAATTGAAATATCTCCGAGGTATGGTAACAGGGCCAAATAAGGTCACGTTCCCAATGGGGCCGGTCGACTGTGAATTAAATGTAATTGGCCTTATTAGGAACACGGCCTTACCGAAGCATTCACCTCCAGTTTACTTTTATTCCTCGATCATTTAAATTCGTAGGATCTGCACGAAATAAATATGATACGCACTGTCAGGGGTCGGGAAAGATAGGAATCGCTAGCGCGTTACGTACCAAGCGATACGTACAGACATTCCTGTAGCTACGTACAACGTAAGGGAAGTTTCTCTAGGAAATATTTGATCTTGGTATTGCTGTGCTATATTATACATCCACGTGTATAATAGGTATTTGCAAGGATAGGTGTACACGCAGGCATAGGTATATATCTATAGGTACTGTAGAGTAAACTGGAATAGGGATGAAGGGGGATAGGTAAGGGGTGAGAAGCAGGGACATTTTGTGGGCCATAAAGGGGTGCGGCGAGGTTTGAGAGGGCTGATGGCAAAGAGGTAAAAGAGTAAAGGGAAGCAGCAAGCAGCCTCCAGCAGCTGCTTCGTATATCTCTCAGCCAGATCGCTCACACAACGTGAGCGCAATGCCGGCCGATCCCCTTTACACGTAGAGGCCAGAGCGCAACAGCAGACACCGTCAAGGCGGAATGAAACCATTCTCTAAATATTATCACATAATATTTTTACCGCGAGGCTGAGTTACGCGGGCGCACTACGGTTTGTAACGTGTACCGTTTATTTTGGCGGATCCTCTCCCGGCCTCTTCGGGCCTCTTTGGCCTTCCTCCTTTATTCCACTTCTCTCGGACTCCTTTCTTCTCTCTCTCTCTCTCTCTTATTCCTCTGCCCTCTAATGCCATCTCGCGGAGACTCGATGATCGGTTGGATTTGAAAATCGTGGTCAGGATACCGAATATCTCTTCGTACTTTTGATAGATGCCCAAAAAAAAAAAAGAGTGGCGCGTATCTCCTCTCTTGTCTCCGTGACCGCATATCTACGTGAAATTGCCGTTGAATTTCTTGTTGCTTTAAGGACGTTTTTACGGGATCGACGAAGGAGGTGAAATAAAAAGTAGAGAACGATTCGGCCGAAAAAGGATCTCACTGATATTTTCCAGTTGTCGTGGAAGCACGAAGAACGGGCTGCTTACAATTTGTAATAGGGACGTCTACCTGTGTGGCGCTACGGTCGCTCGGGGACTGTCGAAAAACACGCGGCCCTGATCGTACAAGAACCCAAGTCCCCCACCTCGTACGAGGTTGACAGTATTTTTCTATAGCGTCGCGGAGACACCTTCATTACTTTCATTCATACATTCATTACTACATTGCCGGATAGACATTGCTCGCGTTCCTATTTCGTATTCAGTCTCATGAATAACACGGCGCTTATGTACGCATCTTCAATAGGAATATCCTTTCAGGTACTTACGCTTTTGGGGCCCCGAAAATTCGTTACATCGAAAACGAACCGTGAGATTTTCACGGTTTTTAAAATTCTGTTTTTTTTTTCTTTCTTTCTTTTTTTTTGTTTAAGGAATTAAACGTGCTTCCAATTAGGCACGCGAATGAATCGCTTATTGTGTTAGGGAGCAACGATAGGATCGTCTGACGTATATTCTTAATATACCGGCAATTACCGTAGAATTTAATTATTAAAACGTGTGTCTTGGTGTATGCGTTACAGATCAGACAAGAGAAGCCGTACTACATAGCAGACCCGGAGGTGGACTCGCTGGTGAGTAATGCCCATTTACATACCGTATATACGCTGTTTAAACAATGTCGGGAGCCGCTCATTCCGTTACCTAAGCACAGTGCCCATTCTCTCTTCCCTTATCTAATCGCTCAATTTCTTCCGGACTCGCGAGACCCCACGATTCAACTGATTTTGGGCCTCATCGTCGTACGAGCATCGTGGTCTGACGAGATCCTCCCTTTCCTTCACCAGAGAAGCTAATTCGTAATACATTCCCTCCCAACGACAGTAGCAGGAAATAATTTGCCTAAGTTCCCCCGTACCACCTTAAGCAAGGTAATTAGAGCTTGGCTACCATTCTCGTCCTTCCGCCTCCGCATAAGCCCCACCCTATCCTTCCTTTACCTATTTCAGAGGGTTTCGAGGTGGGAAGAAGTATTACCCACTGCGCTCCCGGTGGACCTTCAAAACTCTCGGGGAAGAAATATTTCAAACAATCCCACCACTCTTCTCGCTCCGATCAAGATAAAAAAGAGAAATGGCCTTTTTAAATACCTACCTTGGTCTTCTTCTTCTTCCGACCGCCGTGCTACCCAAGAAGAAACGCGAGTCTCCCCTCTTGAGAATCTTGACCGGCGCCATTGCGGATTTCTTTTTCTTTCTTCTCTCTCTTTCTTACTCGGCTCCTTTTTCTTTTCGATATATCTTCTCACCCTCTTTCTTTGGTTTCCATCTCGAATGCTCTAATTTCCCGTCGCCCCTTTTCCTCAAGTTCTTAACTTTTCTTTATCCCCAAGGCCCTGAACCGCTCATCGTCATTACCATCGTAATCGTCATCGTCCATGCAACTCTCTAAATGTTCCAATAGCGCTGCGTTTACTTAGCCAGCACGATGGCACAGGAGGTATGGGTCTGCGGTACACACTTTTAGGCAGAGGTACCTCGCGTACAAGCCACTTCAAGAGTAACCAACAAACACAGCACGTTCAAGAGACCATCGGATCTGGATGACTGCTTAATCATTGCCAATATACATTGAACAACTGCGACTCCTTGCGCGCGAATTACATTTCATTTTTCGGTCGAATGATCCAATTTTTATGAATTTTTTGAAAAAATTAAAAAAATTTACTCAAGCCAATACACAAGGTTATCGGACTTGAATGTATTGCCAGTAGATTCAGCCTTGCGCAGAGTGGACTGTAGGTCAGGATTTGTAATTTTTTAAATATCACAAATGCGTCCTGACTTCAGAAAACTCCTGATAAACAGTGCAGTTTGGCAACACTGTGCAGTTTAGAATGAGCATTAGCTTTTTTCCTTTCATTTCACCATTAGTAATTTCTCTGGCAATGTGAACGTAATATCGTGTATCCAGGGATCACGGTGTCGTCCTAAGGTCATGAGTATTTGTCTGTGATAACACGGTATATTACTGCACCATCGATTCCTTCGCTGTGACCACTGCTGGGCTACGCGGCCTCGCGGCAAGAGGTGCGTCCGCAGCAGATAAAAGCAGGAATAAAAGAAGAAATAAAAAGCGCAATATTATGTAGTGCGCCGCCGATGCTCGCGAGCATCCGTGCCCCATTCGGTTTGCATTATGCATCCGCATCGTATAAATGCTTGAGCAGGTAAAGGTAGAGAAAAACGGCGAGCATCTAAATTGTAAAAGGGGGAATTTTCCTGAGGTGGCACGGCGTCTCGAGAACTATGTCCCGACGCTGAACAAGATCGGCCATGGAATGAAAATATTCTCTCTCTCTCTCTCTCTCTCTCTCTCTCTCTCTCTCTCGCTCTTTCTCATTTCATTTTATTTCATTCCTAGTATCTTTTTTTTTTTCGTACCGTTAGCGCAATCGCCACTGAGTTATTTGCAAAAAGTGGATGGGCAGGTGTTACCCAGTAGTATAAATCTCGAAAGTTAAGTGCCTTATTCCCAGGGGATAAAAATTTCGGCTAGACATACGAGGATGCCGATAGTTATGCTCTCTCGGGACAGCTCGCTCCATGGCCAACGTCTCGCACCACGCACGACGCGTTGGCGATGGTATCGGCGTCGGTCGGCGTGGCTTCATTACGGCTGTGGCCAATTGCAATCTACGAGCAATGAACTTCTATCGTAAAGAAGAGGCACGTAACGCTCTTGGTTTTTGCTCACGTGCCTTTTCTCTTTCCCCCGTCGGCTCTCTGGTTTTTGTCGATAATTTCGCAGAACGGAAAAGTCCTCGCTTTGAGTGGAATTGCCCGCAGCACTTCCGAAGTGCTTATCTATAAATATATATATATATATATATATATATATTTATATACGTGCATGTACACACACGGGCACAGCTTCTTTTCATGTACCGGTACTATAGCTTATAATCTACCACCACTCTTATACCTATTCGATCTAAACGATTCTTATTCGTAAAAATATTCACCATCGTTGTCAGTTCTACCTGGTGACGCTATTATAGACGCTTAGAAGTAACTTAAGTCTACAGTTTATATATATATATATGTAGCTTTGGCATTCCCTACGGTTTTCTTTACGCCCGGGCGAGTATACTTGAAAGGGATCGAAGTGCCAGAAAATTTGGGCAGCTGTTATATTTGGGTCCGAGGCTATATAGGTATAGTACCCAGCAGAACCCAACCGTGGTACGAGAAGGGCCGGAGAGTGTTGCGAAACTTGCATTTTGTGTACGGTAAACGCTCGCTTTCTTCGCATGTGTCAGTCGTTCATTTTCAGTCGAGGTTTTCCTTTTTATTCTGTCTAAAGCTGCGTGATCCCTTTGCGTGGATTTTGCCGGCCCTTTGACTCTTGCGCAATGCAACAACAAACATTGCACAGTCGGAACCCTCAGTCCAAACAGTATGTCTCGCAGAACAACAAAGTGGATGCATTGTACTTGTTCAGTGGCGGTGCGAAATGAGACTAGCATCCCCATTGGGGTTGATACGTTCCTCACTTTCATCGACTTATTGTTCAGATTCAATTAGATTTATTAGGGGCCCTAAGATAACACTTTACTTCCCGTTTATTCATCTTGACCCAGTGGATATTTTGAGGCTGGCAAATTCCAATGACGATCCCGTTAAAATTGGACAGTGGGACAGTGACTTTTAGGGCTTGCAAAGGGTATATTAATGCACGGGCCAAGAGTCACAAATGATTTGCTCATCGAAGCCGATGTTTTTCTACGGGGATAACTGATTGGACTAGGAATCGATTAATGCTTAAAATTAGGGTACAGTCCCTACACGCACCTTGCGTATATCCTGCATACCATAGGCGCGAACGACTGAAAGTTTCAGTTTAGCCCTTAAATGCCTGTGACGCCGATTGTTTATATGCTTCCGCTATATTTTCCATGAACACGATGGAGATCGACGGTTTCCCCAGATACACAAATTTCATGCAGAAATAATTTAAGCTACATTATAATGCATTCTGTTGCCAACCAGGAATAGTTGACGCACCATGTCCACAGGTTTATTAAATATCTCACCTTGTGAGACGTCCACGTCCTTGCAGTCGGTCCTGAGGTATCTTTTTATATTGTACTTTTTTTCTCGATTAAAAAACAGTGAAAGTAGCTCGAACTTGTTTTAACGAGGCGGCTGTCCTACCCATCGGTTAGGTTTCCTTCGCTATACGTGTATTCTCGTATAACGTATTACTTCGTTGCGTCATCGATATCCACGCAGAGGATGAGATCTCGAGAGTCAATCTGATCTCGCGTAGGAGTTTCCACAGCCTCGGAGACTTTTCGAATTGTTTCGTGTCACGAGGAGTAGGTACTGAGCTCCAGGCGACAGTTTCGTGGGCGGATAGATTATGGCACTAGGACGTACTCACGAGTCGTCTACGTGGACATCCGCATAATCGTAAAGGGAACGAGGGCCGGGACCGGTTGCAGGGATCGAGGTTAGGAAAGACAGCGGAAAGCGGAGACGCTTCGGATGTTAGCGTGGAAGTTTGCATTGGTTGGTGCGCATGAGACTATAGAAAAAGAAGGAAAAGGGACAGGGACCAGAGACACGCGCTTAAATAATACATTATTAGCATATGTAAGAAATGAGTCAATGAGATGCTAATTGCCGGTTTTACCTTTGAAAAATCCTCGGTCTTCAGAGTCCTCTGTGCTGGTACATACAGTATATGTATGGCTAATACAGGCGCGTATAGCTGAACACGATGATATTCGCGTGACATGACGTGGATTATTTTCTAGGAATCATCGATCGAATTAAACTGGGTAAACATGCTTGACGATATTTTGCTAAATACATATGCATATATTTTCAATTAGAATCTACGAATAGTGTACGCGAAAGTAAGCAAGTGGTACGCATAGAGAATTTCAATGCCTGAACGTTTAGATCCAGCGGGATCAATATTAATTATTTGACGATCGGCGCAGACTCGACGATAGATATAATCGATATAAAACTAGCGAGAAAGTTGGCACGAAAGTGGCTGGAATAAAAGTTATCCAGAGTCTGCCATAGGTCCATCCAAGGGATGATATCCATTGGGTGCACGCGTGGCTGCTGCATCCGAGCACGCGATCCGTCCACGTATATCCTGAAGCTATACAACTAGTCCTGCACTCGAAAGCCTTCTACATAATGTATTCACCCTACAGCTGAAGTGTGATCACCTGCCACAACTTCCATCGGCCTTTTTTTACTTCAAACTCGGATTCGCTTCAGCTTCCAACGTGTCTGTGACGAAAGGTAATTCAATACAATACTGTCCAATCGTGTCAATATATCCAGCACCTTTCGACGAATTTTATTTTAATTAATGAAAATTATAGACACGCCGGTCATACACCCATGAACGTTAGACCACTTCAGGGTTAAATCGAGGAACACGTATTCCTTGTTTCTCCACGCATCACATCCGTCCTGAACAAGATCCTAGTGGTCGTTCGGTTTGTTACTGGATGTTGAGAATGTACACGAGGAATATATATCTCTCTCTCTTTCTCTCTCTTACGCACACCCACGCCTGGTGTCCCGTCTCTCGACGTGGTGTAATAGTATATTCCAGATCTCGCGGCGTTCCTTTTGCTCGGTTTTTGAATTAGAAATAAAGCCGAGCCGCCTGGCAGGCCGAGAGTCGGCGGCAATGAGCTACCGCACCGTGATGGTTGGTGGTGATGGTGGTGATGGTGATGATGGTGATGGCGTATAGCGAAGAGGAAGGAGTGAAAGAGTCAGTGAGAAGGGGTTGAGGGGTTGGAGGGGGGGGGAAGGCCTCTTTGGCAAGAAGGAACGTAGCAGAGAGAAGGAAGGAGCCAAAGAACGAGAGAGCCAAGGTGAATGTGTAAAGTATAATGTAACAGAGGGCTGCCGAACACCATGGCTACTCGGGTGGTCTCCCCGTTCTTACGCGCGACAAGAGATTCTCGCGACCTTGCAATTCAGTCGTGTCTATGGTTCTAAGCTTCCGGTAACGTCACATCCCCCTTGTCCAGTTGATTCCAGAATTCTTGAGTTTACCTTTATAGTCCTTGCGTCAGATATTCCCCGTACTGTAAGCATATGTCTCGTGCTATAAACGTTCTTCGCGATATTACGATTCACGTGTCGTGCTTCGGCTGATATGCATGGGTCGTATACCGAAACCATAAGAAATTAATAAGCCAGGATTTTAAGAGCCGATTCGACGAGGATCACGTGTAATTTCCAACTAAGACACTTTTAGTGGTCGGCTACTGCCACCGCGAGTGTAACTGCGCCCGGCCGTTCGCATTCGGTTTATGTCGCCCCGTGCTGCCGCATGGGAAAAAAAAAAAAAAAGAGGAGACACGCTCCTTCTTTTGGGCTTGTTATGGCGCTCGTTAAGACGTTAATGTCGCCGAAAATATTCGCAAAAATGCAGGTGCAGTAAAGCGCATACACGCATGTGTCCGATTCGCGCGAGTCGACCACACCGCGCGCTATTCGTACGGAACAGCTTCTCTCTCTCTCTCTCTCTCTCTCTCATACACGACTCTCGACTCTCTGCCTCTTGGACTCTCGTGCGTAATAGGCTTCCTCTCTTTCGCTCCTTTCCCTCACGAGTGCTGAACTAACCGTGGGCTCTGGCTGAGGTTAGGCTCAGTCCTCTGTCGTAGCTCGCAGTTGAGTCCCCGGCTGGGACTATAAATCTCCAGCTATTAAGACAGAGGATCGCTGTTTGATGGCCCGTGCCTTGACGCGCGCTATCATCTTAATATATAAAATTGTTTGTTAGTGCCCGTATTATGCACCATCGATAGATGGGAGATCTCGGGACACCATGGTGATTATAGAAAGGATTACGAATGCTAGTGTCCATATACTATACCGCTTATTTTCGTTGGAATTCCTCTTTCTTTGACTTTCTCCTCGATGTCGACGCGCACGGATTCTCGGCTCGTTCTCAGTGTTCTAGCTCCTTCATGGTACTTCGGTGGTTGTGAGAATGTTTTACTTCTTGTCTATTTGCTTAGATAAGGGGAACGTCGAGCTACGAATCCTCCCTGGGAAACTCATGTCCATCTCTTTTAATTGGTAGGTTATCCCTCTGAAGGGTTCCTCTTAAAGACTCTTATATTCACTGGGACTGGTTATCGTGCTCGAATCTCTTACTAAAACATAGAATATGAATAACCCACTCAGCGACTTATGGGTGGGATCGTGTATTATCTAGGTGTATACTGCTTCTCTCTCTCTCTCTCTCTCTCTCTCTCTCTCTCTCTCTCTCTCTCTCTCCGTTCTCTTTGGTACTTTTTCATATTTTTTTTTTCGCGGTGTATCTACATCCAGTGGACAATATTTGTCCCCGAGTCGTTGTATACTCAACGAACGGTGGGCTCCGACCTGAGTGCTTGCCGTACATAAGTATGACACCGTTTAACAATATTTAAATATTGTCGTCTGAGTGTCTTGCGAGGGGGTTGGCCAGCCCGAGATAAACCGCCGTTTGCTTACACAGCCCTGGCAGCCATAACACCAGTTTCCTTCTTTATCCGAGTGAAGGTGGCGCGAGAGAAGTGCAACGAGGGCACAGGGTTTGTTATTATCTGTATGAAGAAAATAAATGGGGGATGATCCTTCAGGTTTGAATGTTTGAAAATTAATAGGGAAATGAAAAATTGTTCGTCGCGCTCCGACATACCGATTCTTCTTGTTGCGATGATAAGGAGACGAAGTTGCTTGAGGTCAATTATTGACGACGTTGATTACGATGCACGTTCGTAAAGACAAAGTGCATCCTCGTAAATCAAGGTCCCTTGATAAGAACGTGCATTCAATCGGTCCAGTACATCCTTTCGTCTTAGTGACGCTAATAATCAATACAATTAAGATCGACTCGTTAGGCTCGTTCCAGGCTATCGGCTTGTGTTAGCCGCATTTCTTGAGAGCCTCGTCGGGTCTCTTGATTGGGGTAATACACACGCATAACGCATGAGCAGCTGTTTTTTTTTTTTAAAAATACCCCGCCGCTTCATATTATGTCATGTACCTATATAGTATGACTGTTCTGTAAATTGAAACAAGTGTAGTGAAATTATGCCGTGCAGGATTTTGAATGTATACGCGTTAAACGATATAAAAACCGGCTATATATCTTCTTCCGCATTCGAAGCACGGTTCGGGCTCTTGCAAGTAGTCAAAGACGTTTTTACGTCATTCCACTTATTTGCGCGAGTATTATCCATATTTCTGTTTAGTATCGGTTCCCCGTTTGCAGCCCCAACGTGTAAGGATTTACGACGTCGTAGGTCGTCGAGCGGCTGGAAATTGTGGTTAATGCTACCTATGCCGGTCCCGTCGTTGTAGATAGCGCGGTTCATGGTTTAGCATAAAAGGACCATAAGTCAGTCGCGGTACGTCGCTGTTGTTAATCGTAGAGAGGGATTAGTACCACTCGTTAATTGCTGTGGTCATCTGCAGGAGTGCATTCGCTAGGAAAATATTTCTTTATACTCAATTTTACTTTCACGTCAAACCGTTTCACAGTTGTTAATTGCAGGTGTGCACCGGTATGGTACACATACATCTACGCCAGGTATACCTGGTGTTACGTCATGACTTTTAAAGAGAGAGTGACACTTTATCTTTATCTCGTTCTCTTCCCGGAAAACCCTCTAGGACACTTTCTTCTCTTTCTCCTTGTACCTCCGATATTGTTAATGGAACTAATTGATATCAGGCGTCGAACACGACGATTGTCTGCCGATACGTTCATGCGCATTCGAGAACGCGTGCTTCTGCGCAGCTCTGGAGTATCTCACCAATCAGACGAGAAGTACACGGGGGCCCCCAGTCCCTATTACCCGGGGCCCTTATAAATAACACCATCTCCCGGCTTCTTTTTATACTACAGCGCCTTCCTGACTTTTCTCCCGTTTTCTTTTTCTCCTTTCTTTCTTGCTTTTTTTTTCCTCCCCTGCACCCCCCCTCGACTCGACGCTCTTATTTCTTTTACTCTTCTTTTTACTCGACCGAGTTAATTAATATCACGCGATGAGCGATCGTGGCAAAACACCAATTGACCCGCGCCTTCTCGACGTGTGAGACATGCCCACGGTGTGTGAGACCCTTGTGAGAGAAGAGAGAAAAGAGGCCCAAGCTTCGAGAGTGGGTCCCCGCATAGAGGAGACATTGTGCGGGACTCGAAACCATGAAAAACCTCCTCACACCATCTTCATCCTCGTCTTCATCCTCATCCTCGTGAATACTCGTCGTCTTCTATACGCGCTATGCGATACACGATACCATCTCTCGTAAAATACTTGGACGAGTGTGATTCGTTCTTCTCTGCCAACACTTGACTGGTTCTCGCATCAGTATAATGTGATCGACTGTGTCGTCATATGGCTCGAGTCGACGAGAGTCTGAGATTTGAACATTTTTTTGGTAACATATCCAATTAATCCTGATGTTTTTGAGATATTTAAAGACCATCGAGGAATCAAGTTTCACGTGGTCATAAGGCCTGATGGCTGTCCAAATTTGAGTCTCGTGTAGTTCCAACTTGCGCGTATCTATGGGATGGCGGTGGAGTCATGGTGGTCGTACAAGGTAGTTTTATGGGATCCAGTGTGGTGTAGTTACACGGTGCTTGCGGGAAGGCAGGCTTTCGCGTTGCTATCTAAGGGGCACTCATCGCACTCGCTCGGTTATCGGCGAACTGGAATCATAATGGACCATAATTGCATAAATATAATGTTAATTAACAATTAAGATTGCTGCTTTCCCTAATTGAATGGCTGCGTATGGGGGGGGGGAGCAGGGGGCCTGAGGGGGTACCTGCTGCTTGGTGAGGCACAGAAAAGAGGACCTCGGCTCGCTCGGGGAGAGCGTGCTCCGGTGCATTAACGTCAGTGCAAATCGTGAAATTATGCGAGTAATTTTCAGTAACCCGATGCGTCTACTCCGATGACTCGTTCTTGCGCGGAGAAGTTGCATGTTGCTCATGGAGAGTAGCTCGAGACTTGAAAGAGAGAGAGAGAGAGTCTCGAGAGTGATTGGGAGCGAGAGGGGGGAGAGGGAGAGAGATGGGAGCTATGGGTGAAAAGTCACAATTAATGATTCGCAAAATTAATAGGGAGTCATTCGGAGGGTGTATGTAGTTTGATCGTTTTCACCTTGCAGAATTTCGTATCGATACGTGTAATCAGTAAGAATGTACGATTCCTCGTTGAAAATAGCGCTGGTCGTTATTATTGAAATTAAAAATCACGCACCGTATCTACACCTTGGGATTTCTTTATGTCCATAATAGGTATGCATACTTGAATGAAGCAAGGGATGACATTCCAAGCGCGAGATTCGAGATATGCAATTAGCGAATGCAAATGCAATTAATTCCTGTTAATCCGCGCCAATCGGGTCGACGGATAAATATGAGAATAAATGAATGAGCTATACGTAAGTGCGTATATATGAAAAAGCCGAATTCGCGTCTGTCGGGCAGTAGACATTGCTGCAGGGCAGAAGTGTGCGTCGTGTCTGGTTCGTGTTCCTCGTTCCCTCTTATGACTTCTCAATTCCTAGTTCCTTCTTCACGTCGTCATTTCCTACTCGACTCCTCGCCAGTGACTTCGTCCTCTCTCGTCGCAGCATCATCACGGCGAATTTATCTTATTTCTCTGCTCTCTTGTGTTTCAGATGGTTCAAGCGATTCAAGTCCTCCGGTTTCACCTCCTCGAGCTTGAAAAGGTGAGTGACGCATTCCTGATCCCTCTTAATTGCCACGTCTTATTATTCTACATTAGCACGAAATTCGAGAACAGATAACTGGTAGACAGCCATATCCATACCTTCCTAACCTCTTTCGGTACCTCAGCCGCGGTTTGTGTCCGATTACCTTGCTTTTCTCCTGAGGCTATCGATCACTTTGGAAGCCTTGGTACTGGGGGGTGGATGAGCACCTCAGGCAAATAGAGTCTGGTACCTCAGGTAGTGCGATCTGCAGCTCTCTTTCGCACTCGAGATCAACTCTTATAACTGGCCAATTTTCCGTAATTGTAGTGAAAGCTTGGTACGCTCAAATATTGGTACATGTAGTTAGACCCATAGTCGAGCCTAAGTGGAGTGATTTAGTCATCCAATGGACGGTAAGAACGGACATTACCTAAGTCCGGTGGTTTGGTTTGTAACATCGCTAGTCTGTTACCCGCGACTTCAGTGTCATGGAAACGAAGCTTTCCTTTCGAGCGACAATGGCGAAGGCAGCGTGTCGAAACGAGAACGCGAAGCGGGCGCCGTCTTGAGGGTTCTTTCGTTTTTTTTTTCTAGGTTAAAAAATTTTCCAAGTGTCGTTTTTTCGCGCTTTTTTTTTTCTTCTATTCCCTTACATTATTTCATTTTTTTTTTTTTTTTTTTTTTTTTTTTTTTTTTTTTTTTTTTTTTTTTTTTAAAATTTTTTTTTTTTTTTTTTTTCCTTGTTTCGATCGACCTCTCGTACGTTTGTTACCATTTATGTTAGGCTTCTAAGACGTGGCGATAACGTCGTGCTTTTATTTGCCAGATGATAGGAGGGTGGTTTCTAAGTGATCCCTAAGGGTGGTGTAGCCGTTAGCGTGACGACTCTGGTCCTCTCGTATTCTAACGAGGTTTCGCAAAGAATCCCGTGGCGAAGGACCGCGCGCGCGACCCCTTGGAACACTTTTTCTTTACGACGGCCGCTTCCGCCAGCGTCTAATTATCGCGTCGCGTTTATTAAAAACGCCGCGGCGACTATACAATTTCTTGAAAGAGAGGAACAAAAAAGTCTTATCTCGTGTTAACCTGATTTACTGAATTAGGCGCGTTACGTGACTTACGAGTGCGTGGTATACGTGCCTGTGTGCTCACGTGGAGCTCGTGCAAATAATTCTTCTCCACGTGTCCGTCGGTATCCGATCTTTTGATCTTTTGATCTTTCCATCCTTTCTCGTCATACGTACGCGCTCTTCCGGGGCGATACGAGCCTCGAAGAGTCGAGCGTGAGCGTGACGAAACTGGTGGGGGAGACGGTGTCTCGTGACGTTGAAATTTGGTACAGGGATTTCTTCCTTCGAAGAGGAATCTGGCTGCTCGGTGAAGGCAATGGGGTTGGGTAGGAGGCGATACTTTCTTTACGACGATATTTTATCATACAAAATACCGGACATCCATCGCATTTCCATCGAAATGGCAGCTGACGTGGCGGCACCAGGAGCGCCGGCCATTGGCTCGCACACAGGGGAGGACCTGCCGTCCCTCTCCACGCTACCGGTCAGCCCGGTTTATCATGCAATTTTATAGCAATTTTCCTCATTTACGGCGATTATATTATGGGTCCAGATAGCCCCGGCGGGACTCTGGTCGTAAGTTTTGTCCGCGGTGAAGTCTAAACTATGGCTGGGATACGATGTTGCTCGGGCCCCAGGATGCTTTGCATACGTGTTTTAGCGTGGCCTTTCAAAGCGGCCATCTTTAGCTGCTCCTTCGACGCTTCCACGATCGTTACACATATCTACATATAATAACAGTGGCTCTCTCGGAACATTGGCACCCGCTGCGTGACCTCAGAGAGGCACGAGAACCATTTTTAATTTGACGCGCGTCGAGTATCCATCCATCTGTAAGGAGATTGAAACGTTCCGTTCGGGGCCGAGTCCATCGACGTGGACGGCGTGGAATGTATGGAAGCGAGACGAAGGGGATTCCATAAATACCTGGATGTGCCCCGACCAATGGGGTGCTCGTAGCCCGCGGTGGCTCTCCGTGCATTTAACATTTTTGAGCCAATCGCGTATTAGCATAATTACGTTTTGCGGCACAACGGACGTTGGAAGGTTGGTCTTCGGCTTGGTCTGGGCAGGGCAGCATCTATGTGCCGTGGCCATCCGCCGGCTAGAGTGGTAAATTTCTTATGGGGTATTATGGCGCGCGGCGTACATGCCAACGGGATTCATACTGGTACGCAGGATTCGGTTCTCCCTTCTCTTGGCGAACAGATCGGAAACTGGTTCTAACCTTCCCGGTCTGTCTATAGTTTCGTGGTTTAGGAATATAATGAGGAGCGCGAAAGCCGATCCTAGATCTACGCGTTCTGGATTCCTTATGGCATTGCCACAGTCTACCGTGGGTCCTTGGATTTTATCCCGGGTAAAGTCTATCCCAAAACTCTTTGGAGATTCAGGGCAGAAATTTTTGGGGACGCAGCTATCCCGATACCTGGAACGGATTCTCATCTATACAAAGAGACATGTCCCAAGGTAGAAACTGGCAAGGACAAAAGTCACCAGGGTCTCCGAAAACGTATCTATGGTTCTATGTGGGTCTGCCGGGCAGAGTGGTAGGTAGATACACGAACTGGATTGGACACCCGGTACATACCTGTGCGTGCTGTAAGGGTGGTCAGGTTGAGAATCGAGCAGAGACCGAAGCAGACAACCCCCAAACCTTCATTACCTTCGGCTTCAAAGAAACCCATTGTGTCATAAATGGGGTTCCCCGCTTTTTTACATACCCTGGATCATCCATTCTTTGCCGTTTGCCTTTCGAGCTGGAGGCAGAGCATCACTGGAAGAAGAAGAAAAAAAAGAGAAAGAACGAGCGAATGAAGGGGAAGGAAAAAAAGAGAAAGTTCCCCACGGCTCGTATACGTTTACCAAAATTTTCAGCTAATTCCATCGCAAAAAATTGCAGTGCACAATGCACTGTGTGCCTTCCCCCCCCC